ACTTTTGAGAGATTAAATTGGTTGTAAACCATGGCGCCGGAAGTGAGTTTCACAAGTGAGAAGTACGAGAAAAGAAATCTTTAGCATCTTACGGTTACATCTAGCCAGCTCAACTGTAAATTGATGAGATCTCGATGCTAGTCTAGTACTCCACTTAAATTCAAAAGGTCTAGGTGCCATAGCAAAGAGCTCATCTAAACAGTTGCAATGAAATTATTTATAGAGAAGACACTGAGAGGTAACAAGATGGAGGCTGATAATATTGCTGATTCTTCTTTGGAGTTTATCAAGGAACTTAAGGCCACCCGACCATATGTGATAGCAATATTCTAAGTATATATATATATATATATATATATATATATATATATATATATATATATATATATATATATATCCCGGTACGATGAGAAAAGATTCCAACGTTCGTAACATTTAATTTAAAAGAAGACTCAATACATAGTAGAACAATTGGTTATATTCGATTGGTTGGTAAAGCCCTCAAGTCTTTATTTATTTTATTTTATTTTATTCATTTATTATTTTTCTAAAAATGAAGACGTATTTTGCTTTTGAAACTAAATTAATTGTTTACTCACCAGTAATTTACAATCGCGCGAAGAGACGCATCGTTATGTGTTGAAACACACGACGATATTCAGTCACCCCCCCCCACGTGGGTGTCATGTGGCACAAGGCCTTTTTAACGTGGGCATTCCCGAGCCATTAGGCTCGGCCAAAAAATAGCCCATTTGAACCCGAATAAACGGGTTCAGGGCCGGTTTAACCTCCCCAAAGGAGACTCCGCCCTTCGGCGTAGCCTCCTTCGGGTTCCTCCCGCCCGTAGGAAGAGAGTTTAACCGAACAGTCCGTTCAGAGGTGAACGACTGATTCTGTTGAAACACACGACTGTTGAAACACACGACTGACTCTGTTGAAACACACGACTGCAATTTTGTAGCGATTCGTACATGTTTTTGTTGTAATATTCTCAAGTGTATTATATATATATATATATATATATATATATATATATATATATATATATATATATTGTGGCCACCCTACATTTCTTTAAAAACACCTTAAAATGAGATATTTTTTCATTTGAATTCGTAAAGTCGAAGTACTAAATGGTAATGCTCATCAGAATTATTATCATGAAAATATTTATAGAAAAGATACCGAGAAGCTACGCTACGGTGGTGGTAAGATGACTGAAGCCGTGATGTCAGGTCAGGACCAATAACATTGCAGATTTCATCAAAAATTTCTAAGTACATATGAGAAACACTAAGCTAGATGTGTCAGCAATATCCAATGCATGCAGGAATAGTGAACTTATAAATATATAAGAAAGATTTTGTCAAGAATTGAAACCAAGTACTTTTGTGATGGAGCATTGTCCTGATGAAACAAGACACCTTTCGTCAGTTTTCCTGGGTATTTTGTCTTGGCAACCTTTCGTAAGCAAACATAGATAATGCCTACTAGTACTACTACCACTACACACGCACACACGCGTGCACACACATACATGCACACTTACTAATATACATTATCATCCGAATCCCATATAGACAAACTAGATTTATGATACACACAAATTATTCACACGAACGTTGCTTGATAAGTCAAATGCACGTGAAGCCTGCTCAATGAAAATTAACCAACACAAAACTAAAAATGCCAGAATTTCTTCTTTTTCACTTTATCTCATTCGCCGATGAAGCTTTAATAAAAGTGAAACGTTAGATTTTTAAACGTTTCCTATATTTTCCTTATCCTCTCATTCTGTCGGATTCCGATCAATATTTAATCTGTATTTGATCCCAATTCATCACAGTATGAGATCAATGAGGAACTTTTAAGGAAAATGAAAACAAAAAGGAGACATTCATCATTATCAGCCATCTTTTATTTCTATGAATTAAAACTTAATATTTATGACAATTATACGAGATTAGACCCTGATTGACTGCCTATTAACATTTTCTAATTTTTATGGTCTTGCGAAACCATCTTTTTTTTCATGCAATTTAAAGCTTATGTTAAAAAGAAATATCACTCATATATTTTTAATTTGAATAACGATATGCCATCCCTGTGTATCTGTCATAAATTTGGCATTAGAAGCTGCTTAGGATGAAAATTAAATTTACTATCGCTATAATTCCAGAGACTTGTTAAGTTGAGTTGTAGGTTAGCCCGATTGGTGCTTATAAACAGCGGAGACTCAGTAGTGGGCAGGCCTCCAAAGGCTAAGACTTTTATGGGTCGGTCAGTGTTTTTGGCATCGAGTCTGGCACCTCGTGATGCGGCTTTTAACTTTGGACAGAGCATAAAACACAGCGAAAGTCATCAGCACTGGCACGGTAAAGGATTAATGTGGTTAGATATTGGTGCTGCGTTTGGGGACAACGAGGGAGAAAATTGATATTACGGATTGCTTATGGCAACAACACTTCCAGAAAGATGGATGGTTGGATAGTCTTGATGATTAGAGATGGAGACAGTCGTTAAAGGAGAGGACGCCGAACACGTAGCGATGGTATTGATGCAATCGATATGGAAAGAAAATGGCGGGCGTGGAGTAGACAGGAAGAAACAAGTAGTAGGTAAATTGATTCAAAGGTAGATAGACCTAAATACAGTGACAAAGTAGATATCCTTCTCCTCCTCCTCCTGATCATCATCATCAATAACAGCAACAACAGCAACGTTATCATCATCAACAGCAACATCATCATCACGAAAAACAACGTCATCATCATCATCAACATCATCATCAACAACATCATCAGCATCATGAATAACAACACAAAAAGCAGTAACATCATCATCATCAACATCATCATCAACAGCACAAGAAGCAGTAACATTATCATCATCATCAACAATATCATCACCATCAACAACAACACTAACGTTATCAGCATCATCAATAACAATATCATAATCAACAACACAAACAGCAGTGACATCATCATCATCATCAATATCATCAACAACAACACAAACAGCACTAACATTATCATCATCATTAACAACAATATCATAATCATTAACAACCACACAAACAGCAGTAACATTATCATTATCATCATCAACAACAATATCATAATCATTAACAACACAAACAGTAGTAACATCATCATCGTCAACAAAAACAGCATCATAATCAACGAAGGAAACAACACTAACATTATCATCATCATCATCATCATCAACAACAACGACATCATCATTATCATGAGCAACAACCGAAAAAAGCAGCAATATTATCATCATCATTATCATCATCATCAACAACAACAACAACAACAACAGCGACATCATCATCATCATCATCATCATCATCATCATCATCATCATCAACAACAACGCAAACGGCATCATCTTCATCTGCATCATCAGCAGCAGCAACATCGATATCATCATTATCATCATCATCAACAACAACATCATTATCATCATCATCATCATCATCAGGTACGACTTTATCATCACAATCACCATCATCATTAACAACATCATCATCATCATCATCATCATCATCACCATCAACAATAACGCCACTAACACACTTATATGTACTTATATTAGTTACTGGAAAAAAAAAAGAAATTTGGATGACGTGAGATACAAAAATATTTTACAAGTACTGGAGCCAAATGGTCGTCGTTAGATCAATATAGATAATTTTAAGTCATTAATGATTTTTTTAATCCGACAGTATTCTTTATAAGTATAAAACTTATGTTTAATTGGTCTACGTATTTGAGTTTTCTTTTAAGTGATATTAATATCTACCAGCTAGAGATCGAAAGTTGTGCAGTTGTTAAATTAATCTCTGAACCGTTGTATCTTAGAAATGATTAAAGATATCTTACTGGAATTCTCCGAGGTTTTTATAACACTACTGGACTTTTAGCAATAAGAATGTATAATTACTCTCCAAGCTTAACAGAAGAATCGTAATGAAATCGATCATAAACGAAAATGACATGTTTATCATTAATTAACCATAACTAAGAATCGAAAGCTCGTGAAGTACTGAAATTAAGTTCATATATATATATATATATATATATATATATATATATATATATATATATATATTTTTTTTTTTTTTTTTTCCAGGATCATTTTCAAACTTATTCTAACCTTCTAACTTTCTGTCTGTTGTCTCACACGTTTCACGTACGATTCCATTTTCAAGTATTTTTTCGCTGCTCTTTGGACAGTCATGGCTGAAACTCCTCTCTCACATGCCAAACGTCTTATGAATTGAGTTGGATCTTTTCTAATTGATATCTTTAACTCTAATTTGAAATGATGATCCCTCTTCCTGTTGGGACCTCCTGATCCAGTTTTCCTCTTTACTACTTCCTCTTTTTAAAACTTATTCACTGTTCTTGAATGGACTTGGAGATGGAAGCCAGTGTATGAATTTTGGAACCATTAATGAAGGCCTGAATGATCTTTTTCCGCTCATCATTGCTTGGAAAGACAGTGCGTCTGATACAAGACAGTTCTAATCTGCTCTCTTTTTAGCTGAATAACTTAAAGGATTTTTTAGTGATTCTTACGACAAATGGTGTCAAGATGGCTTAACGTCTTATCTGAAAACCTGACAAAAATGAAAATAAATTGGTTTAGTGTTTTTAAACATTTTGTGGGATAGATAACAATGCTCTTACACGATTTGGGCAATTTTGTTGTTATATCCGGTATGTATATCAAGAAGTGTTAATAAAAGACTATGAACACAAAAGGGACATTTTTAAATAACAACACACAGAAAGCATTGGTTGTTCACCGTAACAAAATGAACCACAAATTTGACATAAGAAATTCTACTTTGATTAAAAGAGAAAATAATCCACTGAGACGAAAATTGTCTGGAAAGAGTTTTGATCTTTAGTTCAGCCACAATAAGTTTGCATCAAGTCTCTTACAATATATTATAAGCATTCTTGGTAGATTTTATATTGACATAGGGTAGAATAGTCAAGGACAAAGGTAATGGAGAGAAAAAGAAAACGAAAAAAATATAGATGAATTTTGGCTAGATTGAAACAAAAATATTCTTTCAAAAATATTCTATTAAAAATTTTTGAAACTACCTGCGTCACTCGTGTGCATGTGTAGACGTGGTAACATCAACAATGCCGAGTCCAACGCCTAACGAATGAAATGCATCACGAGAAATTTCCCAGTTTGCCATTTTTTTTCTAAATACTGTTTCTTGATATATAAAATTAACAAACCATATATATATATATATATATATATATATATATATATATTGTTTGTTAATTTTTATATATATATATATATATATATATATATATATATATATATAATTGTGTGGTTCTGCACAAAGATAGATGAAATGACATAGATGGATATGGACACCCAGTGGTAAATAGATATATAGACACGTAGATGTATTGACGGACAGATAGATAGATAGATAGATAGATAGATAGATAGATAGATAGATAGATAGATAGATAGATAGATAGATATGAACAGACTGAGATAGATAGCTAGATAGCTAGATATGGACAGACTGTAATAGATAGATATGAACAGATTGGGATAGATAGATAGATAGATAGATAGATAGATAGATAGATAGATAGATAGATAGATAGATAGATAGATATAAAAAGACTGAGATAGATAGATAGATATGGACAGACTGTGATAGACAGATAGATATGAACTGATTGGGATAGATAGATAGATATAAATATAAATAGCTAGCTAGCTAGACAGATAGATATAAAAAGACTGAGATAGATAGATAGATAGATAGATAGATAGATAGATAGATAGATAGATAGGAACATTGCAGAATAGAATGGAAAGAAAGAATAAAACAACAATATATGCCGGACCTTTTGTTAGAAGTAAGATGTTTTGTGCGATGTTTCATTTTCTTAACAAGTTCAACTGAAGCATGTGAGGTTATCCAAAGATTCAATCACAATCACTGCTTCTGAATCAATCAACGTGTGTCCAAACGAATTTACACAGACGAATACCACCTCAGCCAACCATGGCCGTGGGATGTAACGACATCTGCGCAGACTCCACGCGATATAATGGCCAAACATCGTTTCCGCTGTTGCTTCTCTTCCCGGCGTGCCATTGATTTCCGGTTCTCCTGCCATCCAGTAATGGAATGAAAACAAATCCTGTTTATTTTACGTTCCCAAAATTTAAATTCTTCATCATAAATACACATGATCTTGTCTTCTTCGTCCATCAGTGAAATTTGTTACTCAAGCCTATTTGATCGATTTCCTGCTTTTTCTTCCGAGTCTTTATTATTTTATTCTACCTTCTTGATTCTTATTTAAATATCATTTCTTATTTTGAAGGTATTCATCTTTCTTGAAGTGTATTCACGAGTTTTCATCTTTCTTTTTTCAGTTTTTGTTTGTATTGTCGGCACTTAAAATGACGTATTTCTTTCACAATGTTCTTTTTCTTTCTCTCTTTTTCGCTCAACTATTTTCTTTTTTTGTCGTTCATACTTTCTTTCAGTTCTCATATATTTCCTTTTTCCTTAACCTTCTTCCCTCTTACCTTTTCATTCTGCTTTTCTTCATTTTGAAATTCTAAAGCCTCATTATTTTTTATTTGATATTCTTTCATTTTTCTCCTTTTCATCAACTTTCTTTTCTTAGTATAATTTATCCTATTCCATCTTTTTTTATCTTCCATCTTTTCTTTTAAAAATCATTTTCTTTTCGTTATTTTTTTCACTTCTGATTCATAAGAAAGTCCTTATATTAGAATTATGGCAATATTTTCTTTATTTGCACACGCGACAAATGTTTTAAATATTTTTCTATAACTGAATATAATATCTATTATTTTCCTATATAAAAAGAAAAATGTTATAATTTAACCTAAGCCCAATCATCCTTTTCAAACTATGATAAAATATTTTCTTATAAAAAATGGCAGCCATATTTAATTTTAAATTATTGTATTGGTAATATCTTCTGAATGAGTCGAATTTATATTGCTACAATTCAATCTATTATTGAATGTAAAAAATAATGCTGCTTTTTAAATTATTAACTAAAAAACAACCAACGAAATCTAACAATGGACTTTTTGAAATTACTATATAAAAGATATGATTTGTAAATATAGTGAGTAAAGGAGAACAAGATGTCTATATTATTTAATGAAAACATATATATATGTTTTCAGGTTTGGGGTCGGGTGAACGTGCATAGAACCTGTCCTCCCCTACCTATGAATCTTTCATGGTAGATGCCAGGCAATTCATCGCGAACAATGTGACTAAAATGTATTGGAGCCCCATCATGCATAAACCACATACGTTATCATATTAGCAGGGTTACATCCTCTAGCAGGTCTGGAAGTGTGTTCGAAATACAGTTTCTGTAGACAGCTCTTGTAAGACGTGCTGAGCAAACATATGGACCTACCAGACAGTCAAGTACAATTCCAGCCCACACATTAATAGTAAACTGATGCTGGCGTCTAGCCTGTGTTGTACCATGGAGATTCCGATCCGCATACAAACATTGGTTGTAAATTTGTTATTCTATCTCTTTAAATGTAAATTTTGTGCAATAAACCATCGTCAAAATTTCTCCCGTCGTGTGTCATGGGGAAAGACCCTGCACACGTTGCAAATGACACAAATACAGCAGCTGCTCTTGAAGTATCCTTCATCCGATACTATGAGATGTACGATGTGCTAAAGCCACTTGGCGCGTGCTGATACCTGGATTTTATCCGACAGCCTGTAGTATGTGTTCTTCGTGGTCAGGCGTACGAGCGGATTTCGGTCTTCCCCGATCCATAGTTTGTGATGCCACTCATCCTGTCTCAGCAATGCGACGATAAACTGCAGCAAAGCTTGGATGACTCGGCTGCCTTTGGTCTAGAAAGGCAATTTCATACAGCCGTGCAGAGTCGTGTCCATTATGATTAGCGCGACCGTATGTAAAAATCATATCTGCCTGCTCCCGATATTAATATCCTGCCATTGTTAAACGGAACACTTCTCAGTTAACTCACTTCTACACGCATTAAACGTTGAAGACAGATTAGCCGCAAATGTACAAGAAAGCTAAGCTAATCTACGTGGCGACACAACGCTATCTTCTGTAAACTTTCTTTAAACATAATAACTCCAAAATGAAGGACATGCGGACATATGTTTATATGGACTTGTTTTGTTGTGAGGAACCCGCCCCCAATGTTTGTAAAAGTATTTTTGATACAGTCTGTATATATATATATATATATATATATATATATATATATATATATATATATATATAATAGACTCTCCCGTCGGTTTCGACGTATGAGGATCTGACAGCTTAATTGATTCAGTTATGAAATTTTGTGCGATAATCTTAAGTGGCAGTTAAGACCCGCTAGCGATTTACAAAAGAGGCCACATATGGAGCAATTGTGATGATTGTGAAATGAGATCACTGTTAGATTGGCTGACCTTTTAGATCATGCTCTCGCTTCTTGAAGATGATTCAGACAAGCAGATTGAAAACTGCTGAGTCCACTAAAACACGTTGATCTCCTTTCTACCCGCTCCAGGGCTAAGCGCTCAAGAATGTCATGTGGTATATTGACAACTGACAAGTTGCTTTTCAGCTTGTCTTTGTATCTTAGCCATGGGCATTCTTCATTCCTGTAGCCCTGATCTAACTGGCCGTACATCAGGATCTTGGGTATCCTGTCATCAGACATTCTCGAGACATGACCAGATCACCGTAACTGAGACTGTATGAGAAAAGTCTCGATTCCTCCAATATTACACCTGTTAAACAGGTCTACGTTAGATGTCCTATCTTGAAGTTTAACTCCACAGATTGCCCGCAGACAGCTTTTATGGAAAACATCCAGCTGGCGTTATGGTATATGTATGGAGTCCACGACTCTGAGCCATACAAAAGGATGGCAAATACAACAGCTCTGTAAACCCGAATTTTCGTATCCAGTCGAATACTCCGCTCATTCCACAGTTGATAGCGAAGTTTGCCGAAAGCACTGGTAGCCTTAGCAATCCGATGCATGATTTCATCATTTAAAGTTCCACTGTAGTTGACTTTGCTACCAAGATAGGTGAAAGACTTTACATAGTTCAGTGCTTTGTTTTCTACTTTCAATGGTCTCTCTGGAAATTTGTAGACTGGTATTTTGTTTCTCACCACGCAATTGCTTCGGAGTAGGACAAGGTTGGTGCACTACTTCAGTTTTATTTATGCTAAGTGTCAGACTAAAGGATTTACATGCAACAGAGAAACGATTTATTAGATGTTGGGCCTCTTCAAAGGATGTTGCTACAAGAGCAGCATCATCAGCAAACAACAAATCACAAATAATTTGTGTATGAAGGTGGGTCTTGGCTTTGAATTGCTGATGATTGAAGAGACCACTAGTTGTTTGAAACTGAAACTTGACACTGCTCTCTGTGTCTGCAAATGCCTATTTCAGCATCACCAAGAAGAAAAGGGCAAAAAGGACAGGGGCCATGACACAACTTTGCTTTGTGTCATTTGTGACATCAAAGAATTCTGACATCATACCATCAGACACGATATTAACTTTCATTCCTTCATGAAAGGAGATGATGACCTTTAGCATGTTTTCAGGGATACCGAGTTTCCTCGGGACTTGCCAAAGAGCCTCTCGATTCACAGTGTCAAAGGCCTTCGTCAAGTTCACAAACACCATGTACAACTCCTGGCTTTTCTCTCGAACCTTCTCTGCAACTTGACGAAGACAAAATATGTCAATGGTACCACGACCCGACCGAAAACCACACTAGCATTCAGGATAGACGTCATCAACAAGGTGTGTAATGATTCTGTTTAGAATCAGTCTAGCTAGGATTTTGCCTGCAATTGAAAGTAGTGATATCCCCCGATGTTTTTATAGAGGTGTTTGATAGAAGCGTCTTTATAATCCTGTGGGACACAGCCGGCCTTCCATATCTCCACGAAAAGGAGACGTAAGTTTTCTACCAACTTTTGGCCACCATCTTTTGGCCACCACCTTTTGGCCACCACCTACTCCTAAGGATCCTATTCCACTTCAGGTGGAATAGGATCCTTAGGAGTAGGTGATTTTCCAGATGAGATTTGCTTGATGGAGTTACTTACCTCTTGACAGGTAGGTTCAAAAGACAACTCCGGAATTTCTGGATTTTGCTCAATTGATGTGATGGCTTCCTCATCAGTAACCGACGTGGTGTTTAACACAGTTTTGAAATGCTCTTTCCAGCGATCTAAAATGTCAAGAGAGTTTCACCATCTGCTGTGGTGATTGGAACAACACCACTTTTCTGAAGACCGAAAATGTTCTTGAGGCCAGCCTAGAAAGCCTTTAGATCCTATCTAAAGCTTCTTGGAGTTCAGTGGACTTTTCTGACCATCAACGCCCTTTCATGGCTCTGAGAGCTCGATGAACCTGAATTTTGCACTTCTTATCATACAAGAAAATTCGTCGTAAAAAATCACCAAAAACAATTGCAGTAACGAAAACTTCAGAATCCAAAATGGCAGGAATGCACATCCGGATACAACCCGGAATGTTTTTAATTTGGTCACGGAGTCGGCCTGACTCCAAAATGTTGGGCTACGACCTCTCGGAGTAAAGTTGAAATACTCTGACACTGACATTTGTATTTATTTATATAGATATACTCCTTTGAAAAAAACATTATTAATCTGAAGAATTCCAAAAGCAATTACAATAAAAATGATTATCAATTTTAATGAGAAGAGAAAATAACCAATTAATATAAATCTATACACAAAATTGTTGTGACCAAGTAAATGGTAAAATAAAGTAAATAAATGGTAAAATAAGTAAATACACCAGACGAGTCTATTAAGAGTGTATCGAATGAACTAGCGCTCAATCCATTCACTGTTCCCCGAAGCCTTCTGTCCTACTTATCTCATAGACTATTTAAAGAGGGAACATCACAACAAAAATTAAACAGAATTAGTGGTAAACTTTTATTATTATCAATATTAGAAGTAATGATATTGATTTTCTAAGCGAGGCTTAGATGTGGCACATGGCCGAAAGTATGAGGCACCCAGTGAGGATCGAACTTAATATTCAGTT